GTCCCCATCATCACATGTCTTCCCTGTGTGTCCATCTCTATCTTGTCTCTTTTTATAAGGACAGCAGTCATACTGGTTTAAGGGCTCACCTTAATTCAATATGGTCTCAACTTGTAACAATCTACAACAAGCCTACTTCCAAATAACATAATACGGTTTCAGGGAAGATAAACATTTTGGGAGACACTACTCAACTCAGTACAACAAGTATGAAATGATAGAGATCCACACTGAGATGTTAGCAGCAACAATAGAAAGACACTGGACAAACTTTAGACTTATTTTAACAAACTGATAGAAGTTAATGAAGATTGAAAATAGAATTGTTGGGAGCTGTTATGACTTAACCTTTTGTAATACTTTGCCTTTGGGAGTCTAAAGAAAAACAGATACAAACGGGTTCCTTTCCTTATCTCTTGTCTTTTACATTGAAATCAAAATTATAGTCAAACACTCAAAAGCATCTCAGGCAGCTTCTCTTCAGACCCTGTTCTCCAGCACTCTGACCCATAATTGCCTCTATTTCATCTCCATTTGCAGGTTTAGAGTTGAGAGTCATCTTAAGTAAGACTATTTGTTCAGAGACTATTTCTCCTCTCAAGGAAACATATAGTTTGTATATTATTTGGCAAATATTTGTTGGATTATAAGCATAGTGATAGGAGCAATGAAAAGGGCAGATAAGCAGGCTCTTCATGTTACTTAAAGTCTTGATAGAGACACAAACAATGAACAAATAAGCTAATAAATAATAAATAAATTTTGATAATAATAAATTTTGAAACAAGTCATGATTACATGTGCCACAACAGAGAGTTCTGTGATTAGAAAAAAAACAGAGTAAGGGAAAAGAAGCTCGTAAGAGATGCTTACCTTGGTGATATAAAATTGGGAATTGAGACACAAAGTCAGACTTAAAGTCAAAAGAATCAGTGATATTACTTAGGTGGAGATTGTAGAACATTTGCCCAAAAGAAAGTTTATTCAGAATTTAAAACTATAAAATTGATGAAAATAGAATTGCTCTTACGGAGGTGGTTGGCAGGAGGTAAAGACATCCTACCTCCTTAGACCCTCCGTGGCCCAAAGATGATCCCTCGTCTGTAGAAACAGTTTGTAAAATTGCTGGTGATGGTAGAGAATAAGAGAATTTAGCTTACAGCACCCACGTGGTCTTGGGAAAATAACACAGTGTGTCTGAGCATCATACTCCTCATTAATAATTTATAAATTCTAATCTTTTAAACTCTGCAACTGAATTATCTAGGTCATTCTAAGCACATTCTACCAATGCAATAGTCATGGATTGCTCATTGATTAAAAAAAAAAAAGTGCTTCTTTTTAAATAAGAAAATGATATGATTAGCACGAAGATTAAAAATAACTTTACAGGCAAACAGAGGTAAAATAATACACATATGGGCATCTCTGCACTTCTTTCACTTCTGAGTTGACCTCTGTTCTACATTAAGATCAGATAAAATGCTTCTCTTGAACCATAATCTCGTAAGGATTTATTTCTCTACATAAGGCTCTCTGTATCTTCCCCTCCCCTTTCTCTTTCTGCTGTGGCATTTCATACAATTACCTTTTATCTTGATAATTGTATTCCTTTTAAGGTCTAAGTTCAGGAAAACAATTTTCAAAATCCTCATTGTTAGTCTCAGGTATACTTTTTCTCAAAAATCCAGGTTATACTTTTCTGCCCTGGGCTTCTTTCTCAGCAAGTCTTCTCTTTTTGAGTGTAACTCGTCTGTGTACAGCTGTGCTTTACTTGCAAATTAACATTCCTGCACAGTGAGTGCTTTTATAAACATGTTAAAAGTACTGGAATGAAGATGTTTGAAGAGACAGACAACAATCTACAGCAGGGTACCGAAACAAATTTTTCTTGATTCATTCCTCTTCATCTACATTTTGGATTTATTTTTCTCTTTTTGTCCTTAGCAACTTGGAAGTCTATTAGACTATTAACCTCTTATAAATGAGTTTTTGTAACATGATGAATCAGTACTCAAATTTTTGCTGAGGTTTCCGCCTACATCTGAAATGCTGTTACGTCCAGGATTATTCTTCAGAACTAGAAAAATTTTACCCTTTTTAAAATACGTATCTCACTCATCTTCTTTTATAGGAATCTTCCTTAACTGGGCTAATTGATATACTTCCGTTCGCATAATACTCTCATGATAGGGGCAATATTGAAGGTATGGGCTTTGAAGTTACAGGAAATAGGATGGTGTACTGGCTAACCCTGTACTAATTGTGTAATCTCAGACAAGTCACTATGTCTTGTAAGCCTTATATTCTTTATCTGCACATTGAAGTACATAAATAACTTAACTCCTGGGTTTAAGTAATAAAGTTAAGCATATAAAACACATTTTTTATTCAAATATTATAATAGTATAAAATGTGTTTCTTTTTTTTTTTTTTTTATGCCTTCAGCACCTGGTCTTCCTAAGTGATCTCCCATCCAAGTGCTAACCAGTCCCAACCCTGCTTAGCTTCTGAGATCAGATGGGATTGGGCTTGCTCAGGGCAGCATGACTGTGGACTAAAATGTGTTTCCTGAATGAACAAGAGTATATTACATTTTTAAAAGACTCCTAGTGAAAATAGGCTTTAATCAAGCAAATGACTGTGATATAGATATAGGGGGCCAGTGGTCATGATACTTAGATTCATAGAGAATTTTTTTCCAGTGGTCTTTAAATTATGCCAGATAGGAATCTATCTCATCTGATAATCTGCTCAAGTGATATAGATATTTGGAAATGTGAAATTTAACAAATAGATATTTTTAAAATATATTAAGGTAGCATGGTTACAGAAGCTTCTGAAGCAGACTGCCTAGGTTCAAATTCCAGCTCTACCACATTTATAAATTTAGACAAATTTTTAAACTCTCTTTAAAAGTTTTCTCTTTTACAAAATGGGGATAATTATAGAAATAGTTACATAAATTGAGTAGTAAAATAAATAAAATTTTTGGAAGGACCAATATATTTAATATAAGTAAAGTATTTATAATTTTCCTGGGATAAAGTAAGCATTGAGTACTTATTTGAATTATTTGAATTATGTACTTATTTGAATTATCACTCTATGCCAGGCACTTCACTAAGTGCAGGACATTCTGTGATGAATCTTGTGGAAGATAAGCATTGAGCACATAAACAGATATGAATATATAATTCCAAATTGTGATCACACCAAGAAGGAAAATAGGTATTGTAAAGCATGTAATAAGAAAGAATAGAATGAGGGTAAAAATTAAGGAGTTAAAAGATAAGCATTTTTACCAGGAAAAAATATTTTGGAATCTAAGGAATGATATATTTTCTCTCAATGTTATAGCATTTTTTTTAAATAAAGAAAAAAATGGAAACTTGATAAATTATTTTTATTATTATATATAAACCTTGCATAATTTTCTTTTTCTCACACATATATAAGTATACACACCTGCTCAGAGAAAGAATAAACACATTGTCTATTTTTATAGCCTATCAACTGAGAGTGTGTCAACCTCCACCACCTGTACCCAATGCTGAAATTTTGACAGAAGATGATGAATTTGAAATAGGTAAAGTCTGTTAAATTACTTTCAAGGAAAACACATTGTTAACAGAGGTATTTATTCAAAAAGAAACAAAAATAAAGAATAGTAATAGCCTGTCTTCAATCTTCTTTCCCTGGGTTGATGAGGATTGTTTAGAATTCTTAAGAATGGATAACAGTGAAAAAAGGAAAGGGAATATTACTTAAGAAGAAAGAAACTAAATTTCCAGGATGTACAGTTAGAAAACAGTGTGAGAATTTGAACTGTATAACTGTATAATGTTGCTGTAATAAACTCTTATTATTGCCACATTGATTTTGGTTGAGAAATGTAAGAAAATACCATTGGCCAATGTAAATTTAACTTAATATAAAAGCAATAACTAGAAATAATTTTTACTGCTTGATACATTTTAATGACTATCTTTCCTATACCAACCAGATTATTTCCTTACTTTTATTGCTCATATCCAACTGGTATATACCAGTACAGTCTTACTGGGAGTTTGTTTACTCTTGGCTTCTGTTCTGATTGGTCAATGCCTACGATTTACTAACTATTCAGTATTTTAAATAGCATCCCTGCTATTTTATATTTTAAAATCCCAGAATTTTATACTGATTAAAAATGACTGAAAGAAAAAATATTCTGCTTTTACAATAGAACATTATTAATTTTCACCTCATTGCTTATCTGAAGCTCCTTCTGTTTTTTTGGTTTTTTTTGTTTTTTAATAGGTGATATTATCAGGTACCAGTGTCTTCCAGGATTTACTTTGGTTGGTAATGCAATTCTGACATGTAGGTTAGGAGAACGACTCCAGATGGATGGAGCACCTCCAGTTTGTCAAGGTACCAATCATTATTATTATTTCTAAATATTTGTATTATGTTTAATTCAGTACTGGCAACATTGAGAAATATCCGTTTTATACAAATATTAAATATTTAACTGGCAGTAATGTTAAAAGTTATACAACTCATTTATGGTGTTTTTCATTACATTATTTGTCAGATTTAACTTTAAACATTTTTGATTCATCCAAGGTTTAATTTTTCTAGTTTATCCCAAAGTCAATTTAACTTAAATCAATTATTTTTTGCTGTGAATGGTAGAAATGCAGGTAAGAAAAATCATTTTAAATAAAGTCTGCAATGTGGCTTGCCTTTACTTGAAAGTAGTTTCTATTCTAACCAATAGATTCATTAAAGTTTAGAGCACCTGTTAAGTATGAGGATCTGAAGAAAAGAAAAAAAAACAAGTTATAAATGGTCCTGCTATGACGGCAACATAGCATTAAGGCTATGGGGGTGGGGTATAAAATCATATAATGTTTAACTGTTTATAGGCCAGGGGAAGTTTGATGGAGGCATTGCTCTCCACGTCATGGGTTACAAATTACAAGTGAGACTTTCTCTGTTAGAATAGGGATAGAGAAAAGGTGGTCCAAGTGACAGATGCATATGCAAAGACACAGAAGTGAAAGACAGTAGAGTATGGACTTCAAGAAATTCACCATATCAGAAGGGCAAGACCATGATGGACCTTGAATGATGCGCTAGAGTTTGGATGTTCAAGAATCATGTATTGTTAATTTGTGTAGCTCCTAGAGCCCAGAACAGGACCGAACACATAGTAACTAATTATAAATATTGGTTAACTTAAATAAAATTTGAATTGAATTTGATTATCCCTTTTTAGATTTTATTGATGTTTATTCTGTGAAATGGAAACTTGTGTCCTGTGTAGTGTCTTGACTATTATAAACATAAAACAAAAATTCTGTTTATTATTCCAAACATACTATAAGTAGTAATTAATATTTGATTTTCTACATTGTTGGAGTCCTTAAAGGAAAGACAGAAGGATTTTCATAAAGGGCTTTTACAGTAGCAAAAAGAAAAACATGTTTGGAGGTGTAAACCAGTGCCAGTGTGAGAATTTTCCTTGCAGTGTGTCAATGCTTTTAGAACATCTTAAAGTTGGTTGGGTATTCTGAAGTCTGTGAAGTATATTCCTGATATTTAAATGTCATTTATTCACCTTCCTTCTTTATACATGACTACTTTATATAGTACTTACAATAAATTATTAAGATTTATATTCAGATATTTAGACGTGTGAATGGAGAAGATAGAGTCTCAGTCTTTTGGGGGACTCTACGTGGGGAAGTAACTTGAGCAGGCAAAGGAAGGCACAAATAAGCAATTACATGCCGGCACTTCCATAACCCCAGTGTATGAACCACAGTATGAGCTCTTGGAGGACAACACTTCTTTTTTATATCTGGATTCCAATTCAATATGCTTTAAAATTAAAATAAATAAAACAATTCAGACAACCTAGTTATTTCACAACCCCTCATCTCTTAGAATTTCAATATCTTATTTTTAAAATCAGAATTTCTATAGATTGGTAATTGCATCTCTTATTCTGTAGAGAATACAAAAAAAAGACAATTTTTTGTCTCATAATAACATCAGATGCTAGCTAAAAGTTAATAAAGAATAAGTACATGTCAAGTTACTATATTAATGAATTGATCAAGCACTTAAGCTAAACGCTGACTTTACATTTTTGTTTGAGTTAATTCACAAGCTTGCTAAAATAGTCATTTATTCGGAATCTTTTATAACTAATCTACATTGTTTTTAGTCTATTTTAAATTATTTGATTTTTTTTCTACTTTTTCTACATGGGGCTGCATCATTTTTGTTATTCTTCCCTGGGTCCTCTTTAATTCTCTCACACTTAAAATATGGAAAGCAACTCTAAATGTGGTACATTTCAAAGAGATGAAATATAACAAGGATTCCATTTGGTGGTTAAAAAGTGGGGTCCATCTAGCTGAATCTGTGAGACTTTGTGCATTTTAAACTGTGTAAGCATCAGTTTCCTCATATGTATAATGCAGATAAAAATTGTATACACTTCTTAAAACTGTTGTGACAAATAAATGAGATAGTGCACGGAGGATGCTTAATAGTGTCTAACAGTCACAATCAATAAGTATTTACTTTTATTCTTGGTGGTGGTCAGACTTCTTGCTATATGTTGAATAATATGAGAATTGATTAATTTGTGTATTTACAATAAGTTTTATTGGATCGCATCAGTTTTTCCAAGTAATATGGAATATTTATTCAGTTCAGAACATTGGAGCCAAAACATTAAATAAAACATGGCACCTGCTTTTCAATAACCGTGGACGAGGAAGGGAGCCAAAAAAGTACAGAAGTAAGAGCCATGAAATTTCTAAAGGCAACAATAGAAGCATATATTATAGAGGCACAAAGAAGGAAATCAACAATTCTGCTTGGGCTGATGGAGGAGAGGTTTAGGAAGCGTTTCACAGAGGATGAGGCACTTGATCTGGGCCTTGAAATGGGCTAACATTTCAAATGCATCAGATGAGAGGACATTTGAAACAGGAGCACAAAAGAATTTCTTAAGTTCAAAAAGCTATAGGTGTTCATTGAATATATTAGGAGCATTCCTTTTCAGAGGAGGAGTGACAGGAAACAAAGCTGGGGAGGTGGGCAAGGACTGAGCTTAGAGGGTTTCGTGTCAAGCTATGAAGCTGCAGAGTGATTTTTAGTGAGGGAGGAATGCATTCGGTAACCCAAACAGTTACTTACTTTAGCTGAATATTCCAGAAGTATTAAATAGCTAGGCATACGCTAAATAAAACCTTCCTTAAAACTTACTTCAACTGGTCATATGGTTATATCCATCTTTTATTTCAATATGCCATAACTATATATTCACTGATGTTCTTCTCTTTTATGCATATTTTCTATTTTATTTGTGACCTTCGTTTATTTAGCTATTTATTTATTTTACATATTTTTTATTTTGTGAACAAAAATGGGAATGTTTCTCTTTTTAGCCTGAGAATGAACTGATATCATTTACTTAATAATTTTTTTAAATCTCAAAGTCATATTTAAAAAAGCATACTTCTCCAATTAAAGTAAAAGAAACAGAAATAAAAGCCAAAAAAAAAAAAAACAGGAAAGAAAGAAAACAAAGCAACTCAGACTTAGCTATACTATATTCTATTGTTGATTTTTTAAATATCTGTGTATTACTTATGGCAGGTTTTATTTTCAAGCTATTTTTTTTTCAAGTTATTTACTTGATTAGAGAGCAATCATATGTTGCCATAAGTCACTGCTTTACTTTTTTTTCCATCTTTACACTATTGGAGACTTTACAATTCAAAATATTTCTTTGTCGTTACACCCAGGAAATGATAAATATATAAATTCTTCATCTATTTATCTATATTCCAGCAAATATATTTGGTGTTTTCAAGCCTAGCTCATTTGAACAAACTGAAAAACAAGGATTTTCCTTAAGGCAGTGCTCTAATTTTTTTGAGATACAGTGCTAACACCAAAATGGAAGTTGTATAGTAATTGGATTAGAAAATGGCATGGAATATATGTCCAATTCACCAAACCCTCAAAAGGTATCTAGTCCACCCACCACTTCAGTTGCTTGAATGTCCCTTATAGTAACACTCAAAAATTAGTCCATCCTAAGTTTAAAAACTCTTTAGCGATGAGATATATAGGACACTTCAACTATTCTGACAAGTAGAGATTTCTTTGTTAAACTGAACTAAATCTTGTTTGGCATATATGAATTTACTCCTGTACAATGTGGTTTATACTGAGCAACTGCAAACCTCTTCCCACAACAGAGAACCTCAAATTCTTAAGAAAAACAAACAAAAAAAGGGCTGAAATGGAATCACTTGAGTTATAAAGATTTGATCATCTTGGTCACGCTTTTTGTAAATGCAAATTTACATAGATATTTGTATTTGGTTCACTGCATAATGCTATTGATGTTAACAATTAAAATTTAGTATACTTTGGAAGCTGTTACTTGATATTACATTTTTCTATCAACTTGTAACAAATTTTCTATATTTTTGTGTTGTGTATATATACACATATATATACACACACATATATGTGTATACACACACAAATTGTTATATATATTTGTGGGATGTATAGCAGAGGCATTGTTATGAAATAAGAAGAGCTTGTGCTTTACCTTACATTTATGGTCTGGAGATAACATGAAGAAATGAGAGGTAACTGGTGACCCCCAAATTGTGTTAAATTCTCATGGTATAAGCACATTCCTGACATCGAAAGTGGCTTTGCCTGGAATGAATACTTTGAGAGAGAGCAGTTTCCTCTTTGGCTTTACACACCTGAATGAGTTACAGTTTGAGGAAAGAAGAAAGTGAGTAAGAAAGTAAGGAAGGAAAAGGAAAGAACAGAGAGGAGGACATAAGACAAGGAAAGGTAAGGAAAGAATATAAAAAATAGAAGGAAATAAATGCATCATCTTTTAATTATTTAGCTATTTATTGTCCAGAAAAGTAATGCATCTTCCATGTAATTAAAAAAAGAAAGGAAATCAATGACATGAATTTATCGGTTATTACTCCACTTTTTGAACTGCAAGCTTAATACAAATTGTCTCTCCTAACACATAATTCAAGGTATTATCTCCTGTATAATACTGAACATGAAAGCAGAGTATCCAGTATTTAAAATGCAGTTTTCACAAAGGCCTAAAACACTAGCATTATGTAATAATATCTTTCTTTGACAGTGCTGTGTCCTGCCAATGAATTACGGCTAGATTCCACGGGAGTCATATTGAGCCCTGGATATCCTGACAGTTACCCAAATCTTCAAATGTGTGCCTGGAGCATTTCAGTAGAAAAGGGATATAATATCAGCATGTTTGTAGAATTCTTCCAGACAGAAAAGGAATTTGATGTTCTTCAGGTGTATGATGGTAACCATGGGTTATATTTATTGTATATTTATAAATTCAGTCCAAATACTCTATTTATACATGCAGACCTTCAGTATAAACAACCACTTATATGGTTTTATATTATATTTTTAGAGTATCAATATCAACTTTATTTGTATACCATATGAAAATTGTAGTTTACTTGGTTATTTTACAAATTATAGATTCTTTAGCTATGAAGTTAAAATGTTAAAAACAAACATTTTACATTATGTTTTAAGTTATTGTTGATAAGGTAGATTGGTTGTGAAACAATTTCACCATATTTAATACAATCCTAAAGTTATAAAATACTCAAGATAAATTGGGACATAATTATTCAGTTGTATCTAAATTATATTATTTTCTTTCTGAAGGACCAAATATTCAAAGTCCAGTGCTTATTTCCCTCAGTGGAGATTATTCATCTGCTTTTAATATAACAAGTAATGGTCATGAAGTTTTTCTTCAGTGGTCAGCAGATCATGGCAATAACAAAAAAGGCTTCCGGATAAGATATATAGGTATGTGATGCTTATAAATACAGTACAGATCTCACCTGCATCCTCAGTATGGTTATGATTAAAAAGCAGAGACACAGACATTATTCAACTAGACATGAAATTAAATCACAGTTCCTCCATTGATATTTCTTGAGCAATTTATGTAACTCCTTTGTCTCGGTTTCCTCATTATAATGATAATAATTCTACAACTAGGTCATATGATTTTTTAAAAGGTTAAAAGCACTTAGGATATCTATGACTTTTGTAAGTTAATTACCAAACTGATTTTTTAAAATTTTCTTATTAGTTTCAAGTATACAGTACATTGGTTAGACATTTATACAGTTTATGACACAATCCCCCTATTGGCTCTTTCTCTCCTCTGGCTCTCCACCTAGCCATTACATTAATGCTAACTGCTCCCCATCCCAGTGACAATCTACCAGCTGCTAATTTGTACTTTTTTAACCCTACACCCCTTTCTCCCAGCCCCGCAACCTCCTTCTCTCTGCCGTCACCAAACTGTCCTCTGTATTTGTGAGTCTGTTTTTAATTAGTTTGTTTTTATTCCTTAGAATCCTCATGTAAATGAAATCATATGGTATTTATCTTTCTCTGTCTGACTTATTTTACTTACCGTAATAACGTCTAAATCCATCCATGTCATTGCTAATGGTAGGATTTCATTTTTTTTTGATGGCTGAGTAATATTCCATCGTATATATGAGCCATAATTTCTTTATCCAGTCATCTATTGACGGACATTTAGGTTACTTCCATATCTTGGCTATTGTAAATTGTGCTGCCATGGACATAGGGATGCATAAATCTTTACAAATTATTGTTTTGGTTTTCTTTGGATAAATGCTCAGAAGTACAATTCCTAGGTCAAAGGTATATCCATTTTTAATTTGTCGAGAAACCTCCAGACTGTTTTAGATAGTGGCTGTACCAATTTGCAATCCCACCAACATTGTACGAGAGTTCCCTTTTCTCCACATCCTCGCCAACACTTGTTCTTTGATTTATTGTTGATAGCCATTCTGACAGGTGTGAAGTGATATCTCACTGTGATTTTAATTTGCATTTCTCTGATGATTAGTGACCTTGGGCATCTTTTTATATGTCTATTGGCCATCGTTATGTCCTCTTTGGAGAAATAGCTGTTCAGGTCTTCTGCTCATTTTTTAACTGCATTGTTTGTTTCCTTGTTGAGTTGTGTGAATTCTTTACATATTTTGGATAGTAACCACTCGTCAGATGTATCATAAGCAAATACCTTCTCCCATTCAATCGGTTGTCTTTTTGTTTTGATGATGATTTTGTTTGCTGTGCAAAAACTTTTTAGTTTGATGTAGTCCCATTTGTTTAATTTTTCTTTTATTTCCCTTGCTCGAGGAGATATGTCCAAAAAGAAATTACTATCAGAGAGATTACTGCCTATGTTTTCTTCTAGAAGTTTTATAGTTCCAGGTTTTACATTTAATTCTTTAATCCATTTTGAGTTTATTCTTGTATATAGTGTAAGAAGGTGGTCCAGTTTCTTTTATTTTTTGTATATACCTGTCCAATTTTCCCAGCACCATTTATTGAAGAGACCGTCTTTACTCTGTTGAGTATTCTTGCTTCCTTTGTCATAGATTGAATGACCATATAAGCAAGGAATTATTTGGGGGCTCTCTTTTCTATCCCATCAATCTATGTGTCTGTTTTTATGTCAGTACCATGCTGTATTAATTACTGTAGCCTTGTAGTATAGTTTAATATCAAGAAGTGTGATACCTCCAGCTTTGTTCTTCTTTCTCAGGATCACTGTGGCTATTCAGGGTCTTTTATGGTTCCATAAAAATTTTAGGATTATTTGTTCTAGCTTTCTGAAAAATGCTATTGGTATTTTGATAGGGATTGCATTGAATCTATAAATTGCTTTGGGTAGTATGGCCATTTTACTGATGTTGATTCTTCCTATCCATGAGCATGGTATATGCTTCCATTTATTTGTATCTTCAATTTCTTTTTTCAATGACATAATTTTCGGAGAACAGGTCTTTTACCATCTTGGTTAATTTGAATCCCAAGTGCTTCATTTTACTGTTTTCAATACAATTGTAAACGAGATTGTTTTCTTAATTTCTCTTTCCAAAAGTTCATCATTGGTGTATAAAAATGCCACTTACTTCTGAATATTAATTTTGTATATTGCTACTTCACTGAATTCATTGATCAGTTTTTTGGTGGAATCTTTAGGGTTCTCTTTATATAGTATATCATGTCTTCTGCAAATGACAAGTTTTACTTCTTTCTTCCAATTTCAATACCTTTTATTTCTCTTTCTTGTCTTATTGCTTTGGCTAAGACTTCCAATACAATGTTGAAGAGGAGTGGTGAAAGTGGACATCCTTGTCTTGTTCCTTATCTTAAGGAAAATGCTTTTAACCTTTCCCCATTGAGTATGATGTTAGCTGTAGGTTTGTCATATATGGCTTTCATTATGTTGAGGTATGTTCCCTCTGATCCCACTTTGCTGAGAGTTTTTATGAAAAATGGATGCTGGATTTTATCAAATGCTTTTTCTGCATCTATTAGTATGATCATATGATTTTTATCTTTCAATTTGTTAATGTGGTATATCACATTAATTGATTTGTGGATATTGTACCAGCCTTACATCCCAGGAATAAATCCAACTTCATCATGGTGTTTGATATTTCTAATGTACTGCTGAATCTGGTTTGCTAATGTTTTGTTGAGAATTTTTACATCAGCACTCATAAGAGATATCAGCCTATAGTTTTCTTTTTTTGTAATGTCTTTGTCTGGTTTTGGAATCAAGGTAATGGTTTTCTCATAAAAAGAGTTAGGGCGCCTTTCCTCTTCTCAAATTTTTTAGAATAGTTTGAGAAGAACAGGTGATAATTCTTTTTTGACTATTTGGTAAAATTCACCTATGAAGCCATCTGGTCCAAGATTTTTGTTTTTTGGGGGAGGTTTTTGATTACTGATTCTATTCATTGGTGGTAATAGGTCAGTTCAGATTTTCTGTTTCTTCTTAACTCAGTCTTGGGAGATTATTTCTAAGAAAGTATCCATTTCTTCCACTTTGTCCAGTTTGTTGGTGTATAATTGTATAATCCTATTTGCATGAAATATCTTTTTCCATCGCTTTACTTTCAAACTGTGAGTATCATTTGATCTGAAGTGGGTCTCTTGAAGATATACATTATTTAATAACTCCCTTAAATGACAAGCTTAAACTAAAGATAAACTTAAGCTGGTAAAATACTCATTTTCATTGTTATTCATCTCTTTGTGATACTTGCTAAATATATTAAATAATGAAAAATAAAGTGAGGAGCACATAATTTAAACACTTATTTTTATCATTACTGCTTTTTATTGAATAATATTTAGAAATATGAGGGCTGAAAATACTTTTTAATACCAAAATGAAATAACTTTTTCTATATGCCTTTCTGTTTATAAGGTCTACTGATACTGTGTCAATAATTCTCTTGTTGAGTAAGTGTGTATAAGTAGTTCTCCATTATATGAAGGTTATGTTTCTTTTCTCTATTGCCATGTCATGTCATGGGTATGTATGTGCTCAATAGCATAAGACTTCAAGACCAGTCTGCTTTCTCCTTCTATACAGTATTCAGAGCATGTCTCCTCAAGCCATCGGTCATTGCTAATCACTTCAACTGAAATTATTTTCATAAGTATTTATGTCTCAGTAAACAATTCTGAGATAACAATTCTGTCATAGACAAATAAATTTTGAATACCAGTTCTAAAAATATACTCTCAAATTTTATTCATACAAATAACTTTGTATAACGTAGAATGTACAAATAAAACAATTTTTGTCTGTTTACTTTGATTTTAAAACCATAAGATGATACTTTGGTTTTAATTTAATATTTTGCATATTACATAGTATTTGGTAACTTGTCACTATATTATATAGTAACATCAGTAACATTATATTGCTAATATATTTACAAGTTTTATCCTACAATATATTTCTGTTAAATTTTAAAATGTGATTAAGTCTGCAAAAGAGAAATGTTTTAAAAAATTGAAATATATCATCCATTCATAATTTATGCCTTGGTCCTTAAGATTTTTCATATTTGAATTTATGTTTCTATCATATGAACAATGTAAATGTCTTTTTGTTAAAGTTGTACCCAAAGATAACATTTAAAAGTCCGCCCATTAAATTATATTTTTAGTAATAACAAAAACTTAAAAATAAACCATTCAAATCAAGCAATTTAAGCATTAGATTGACCACATTATAGACTAAATCCTTATGTTTATATTTATGATAAATTTAAATATATATTATTGTGAAAACACCAGTTTCAGCCCCAAGAACAGCTTGACATATTGAATATATATTTTTCCTTTAGAAGTGACAGGTTATGACATATATATTCTAAGTTTAATCTATTTTCTACGATTTACCCCTAAAGTCTCATTTTTCTCAGATGAATACATTGAAGTTTCAAAGGGTAAATGGATCCTGCCAGGCTGAATAGTCTCAAAAGTACATATATATGAAAAAGCCATTTGACATTATCTTTTGACATTTCAGACTTCAGGAGATGAAAAAAGTTTTATTTTATTGGCATTTTTTATCACCATATGTAAGCATTCTTGACAGCATGGAAACTCTTTGCTAGCTGGGAGAGAGGATTATAGAATATGGGGGATCTTTTTTGACATCAACCAAAATTAAATGCATGATCTAACATGATATCGTGTCTGGAGATACCTTCAAAGTGACATGTAAACAACATGCTCTAAAATATTCCTACCAAGGCTGTGGCATTTAGGCCCTTTTAAAGACAAAAAATATAGCTTCCAAAATTTTCTGAATTATTTGTAGGGCTTTTAGACCTCTGGGGTGTTAACAAAGGGTAATATATTTGAACTCAAAACACAGCCTCGGTGACAATAAGAATTAGAAGAAGAAAGCCCAGAGATATGTCTCATAAAAGTCATGTCACTAGATTGTCAAAACGATAGAAAATAACATGATGTTCCTATGAAGTAAAATAGATGGCCTATTTTTAAGTACTGGTGTTCGCTTACAGGTTTTTATAATTCTGAGTTGTAAAGAATTGCTGATTCATTAATTATACAGTGATTATTTTTTTCTTTTGAAAAGCTTTTTACTGTAGTACCCCAGAATCCCCACCTCATGGATACATTATCAGTCAGACAGGTGGACAGCTTAATAGCGTGGTCCGCTGGGCCTGTGATCGAGGATTTCGACTTGTTGGTAAAAGCAGTGCTGTGTGCAGAAAATCTTCCTATGGGTACCATGCGTGGGATGCACCGGTCCCTGCTTGTCAAGGTACAGTATATTATTCAAAAAAGGATAAAAACATTACTCTTAATCCTTTTTAATTTTTTTCTTTTAGATCACTGAAATTTCCAAAAATATAAATATTCATAAGCTTATTATAGATGCCGCTGATGAAAATAATGCTTAAAAACACAGAATGATAAATTTGAGAATGAGACTCATTGTTTTGAATTCTTCATTTGTTGTTATGTGATTTATGATTTCATCCACTTATATACATACTCTACTCGTACATCTATCATTTCAGTTACTTTGTTGTCAGAAAGCGATTGACCCAGAGCTGGATGTTGTATTAGTGTGGAGTCTGCAAAAAGAATAGAGAGGATAAGAGTTCACTAAAGACTTTCACTCTGAATATGCAAAAATGTGCAATCAAAGCAACAAATTTAAAAGAGGAAAATGTAGCTAGCAACCATGTTATGTTTTCTTTACTGTTTAGCCAACTCAACACAGATATGTCTTACGTTTTCATTTGTATTTTGTTAAAAATCAAAGCACTGTCTAAGCATCGTATCCTGCTATGGCAAGCATATGGACAAGCTACTTAATCGATAAATGGCACACTTTACAGCTTTAGACTAGGTCTTCTTTTTAAAAAGTTGTTGAGTCTCTTAGCTAGATATAATCACAAAGATGAGTTCAGCATCAGTTACACAAGAAAATCAAGTGTCTTGGACTTTGAAAATTTTCAAATATTTAACATCACACTTTTGTCAATATGAAATTAAATTTTATATTTGATTTATTCTACCCAGAATGTGGAGGTATATATAACTACGAACTCTCACATTAAAAAACTGCAGAACACTCTCAGTTAATAAATAATGGGTTTTACCTATAATTTACTTAATGGGGACAATTTTTACAAAACAAATAAAATATAAAATAGAACAATTAAAATGTAAAATTAACAGCAAATTAAAATGTGCATAGAATAGCTATTACCTGACATCTGAAATGGCTTCTTTTACCTATTAAATTGCAATTTCAAATTTATGAAAAGATAGTTCTCACAGGCATGCATAAATGAGAAATGAAAGAACTATTGTTTCCTTGTTCTATTGATGCAGGAAACTAACCACTTATTAGAATTCGGAAAGTATCATAACTTTACAGAGTTACAAACACTGAAGTCGCTGGCTTCATATAAAATAGATATATTTTAATAAACTGTCAAAACATCTGCTTTCCTTTGACCAATGAATACCAGCAGTATTTACAAATTCTTAGTATTAACTAATTTTCCAGAACTAGTTTGGGAAAGAATCTTTGATCTCATAATTTCAGAATCATGGGAATTTAAAATATGTATATATAATTGTCTCTAAATCATATATTTTAAATAAACATTAAAATGCTCTGAACTTTGAATTATTACATTTAGTTATATAATAATTATTTATATACATTTAATACAGATAATAATCTTTAAGAAACCTTTAGGGAAAATAATTAACTTTTGGTTAAAATATATTCTGAACTATCTGAAAGTTTGAAATTTTTGAGTCAGCTGTATAATTTCATTTTTTTGTATATGACATGTATATATGGAGTTATGTTTTTTCATTGCTCTTGATTTAAAATTTTTCACAATTAGAATAAGTAAATTGAAATGCAGTTTAAAAAATATATTTGGCATATTAAAATGATAAAATATTTGTAATTCAAAGATCCATTTCCAAAATTGATATTTTATTATCACTGAACAATGTTAAAAGATTAATTATCTTCTAATAGTTTGTTTTATGTGACCTGTCTCTTTTTGGATATAGATAATAAAAATATAATGGTTAAATGTCATTGGGAAGAGCTATTCTCAGAATGCAAATTTTATTTTGTTCCAAATTTGTTTTACATTCTTCATGTTTATTCTTCTCTCTTCAGTATCTTTATGCATATATATTTACTTGATCTACGGTAACACAAAGTGAACACAGTAAAGGATAGAAAACTTAGTCTACTGTCTCTATTTGGGTTTGGCTTTCTGTTTTATTTCTTTGTCTGCACATCATATAGCCATTCATTGATTCCCCCGACAGTAATTGAACCATTTTCATCCCACTATACAGTTGAGTATTACACAGTGTTATGTAGAAACTATTGCTTTCTAATCCTTGCCTCATTTTTAATTTGCGCTTTTTAAAAAAAGTTCTGTAGAGAAGCCTCTTTGACAACCACTCAGTGATGATGGTTCTTCTGAACTTGGTTCATTTTCTTTTTTTAGTGAAAAGTTAAATGTAAGCTATCCACAGGCACAGCTGTTGTTCTATCATTTTAGTACGTTGTCTTTTTTTTTCAGTTCTTAAATATAACCATTTCATACTAACCAAATATATGGAACCTATACTATTTAACCTGTATTCTCTTTAAAATTTGATCAAAGTTCAACCTGTACTATAGCAATTTACAATTAATTTTTAAAAGATCAGTTAATATGTAATTTTTGATGTTGAAATTCCTAGAAGTCCTAAGTGGAAATATAAACATTTCTTTAACAGATGTCAGGAAACCATTTACATTTGCAACACTATTTTAGAGGTTCTGTAATTAGGTAGCAGCGATAATAACATAATTATATGAAATTGCTTAAGTAATTTATTAAGTCAGAGTTACTGCTTTTCTGTTCATAATTTGCAGCTTATCAGATTACAAAATATCAAACTATTCACCAGTAGAGAATCTCCCACTTAGTTTTGAGAATTTTATATAGATTTCACTAAGATGTTTTCACTTTATAGTCAATTCACATGGATTAATTAAATTTAAACACCTTACTGTTGGATTTATAAGAGAAGTAGAATCAATTTTAGGTTGAAATGGGAGGTACGTAAAAGGAACACAGCATCTGTAAATATTCAAGTTCGTGGGTCTTATCTATCATTTATTTATGTCATTTCTTTCTGTTCTTTATTTCTTTTGATATGAGAGAAATATAGTTACCAGTCTAAAGTATTTTTGTTAAACTGGTAAGACTATATATTTCAGAATTCAGAAATTTTCTGATTTTATAGAGGTAATACAGTACATATACCAGGTATTTACATAATAACTCCAGCTGGTTCTGGGGCAACACCCATATTCAAATACACTAATCTTTTTGCTGCAGAGATATTTAAATTTTTACACATATTAATATGACATAAAAGATAGAAATAATTTCACAAATTGTATTCTTTGGACACTTGTGTTTTTTTCTTTTTTTGGAGATATGAATTGTGTATTTGTAGAGCAAAGATGGAAAACAATCAGGAGATTTCTGTATAATCATTTGAATTTATAAGATGAAAATATCTTATATACAATAAACTATTTAAAAATTTACTGTAATTATCACATTATGATAAAACTAATTTTCACCAAATTCAGATTTATTATGGATAAAAACCAAAACATCTAACATATCAATGAAATGTAAGAAATCTAAAGTAGGTTTTAAGATAATAAGTCTTGGCCTTATGTTTATTAAAAATATCATATGATATTCCATGGATAGTGTCCAAGCATATAGAATTTTGCTGTACCTAAAACAAAGCAATATCCAGCTTCCAGGTAAAATAAATCTATTTGTTTTATTCTTGGCCAAACTCCTGATGAATATTGGTTACCACTGCCTTTATAATCTTTAATGATTATCTGTCAACTTGAATTGACCAAACTTGCTATGTGGTAGTCCAGTCATGGGTTAACACTACACACACTCTGTATATACCCAGCTTCTATTCTCGTATAATCTATATGAATGCAGATAACCATCACATGCTGACAAGAAACTAAGTAGGAAACCAGAAATAAAGCATACTAATGTATGGATTCACCAATTAAAAAACACATTCAATAGGAGTTTGAAATAAATTATTTAAAAAGTTATGGTTCAGAAAAGCATTTTTAAGTGGTATTCTAAATATTTTCCAGAGAAATTAATAAAATCTCAAATAGTTTTACATGCTTTACAGTTTAAGAGACATATCTAAGAAATTAAGTACTTTTCTATATCTGTGATTTTGTATATATGTATTTATCCTAGCAATTTCCTGTGGGATACCTAAAGCTCCAACAAATGGAGGAATACTTACAACAGACTACTTAGTAGGAACCCGAGTTACCTATTTTTGTCATGATGGATATAGATTGTCATCTAAGGAACTGACCACTGCCGTGTGCCAATCCGATGGAACTTGGAGCAATCATAACAAGACTCCTCGCTGTGTTGGTATGTTTGTTATGAAAATCTCATCACTTGTGTTTATATTGGCATCTTATATGATTTGAAATTTTATGTGTTGTTTAAATTTTAGAACTAATTCCTAAAAGGAAACGTGATGTCTAAGAGGGAAATAAAAGGTAATTTAGCTGTCAGGTGCAATGAATAATTGGAAGACAATTTAAGGACTTTGCACTCATTTTTGAAACTCCAGAATATTATGTCAACAAATAAAAGTGACTTATTTTACATAACAGAGTATCAAAAAATCATCCATCAGTTAACATGTATTTCAATGCAGAGGCCCTTGAAAAATTTTTTTGAAATTTGCATTAATAAAATTATATTTCAGTACATTCAGCCCTGATTTTTATAAGGTTACATGATGATGCTGAGATGATATATAACTTTTGGTTTTGGTCAGTATTCTTTAGGTTACTTGCATTTAGAATATTTACCATTGCTGTCATTACTAGTTTAAAAGGTAAATGTTATATAATGGTGATAGAATATAATTCCGATAAAACATTTGGTAGCAAAAGGATTAGAAAATGTTGATTTAAATAAAGTCTTTGATATTTATCTATATGTCAATTATTTTTTCTCATTTAGTACTATCATTTTAACTTAGCTGTGATTTCATTTAAAAGAGGATTGTTAAATTATTTGCAGTCAACATAGATGTCTAATAATGCTTCTACTTATCTTACATTGAGCAAATTTTGAATAAGCCAAATTTATATCACAACTCTTGCATAAAAAGACCATTCTTATAAAACAAATTTTCTCAAAATATAGTTCTTCCAAAACATCTAAAGAAATAAGAGAGTACATCATTTCCATATCTTGCCTGTTGTGACTAATGCTGCAATGAACTTGAGAATACACACATCTCTGAGATTCTGACTTCCTTTTCTTTGGATACATGTCTAGTAGAAGGATTGTTGAATCATATGGTAGTTCTGTATTTAAATTTTTTAAGAACATCCATACTGCTGTATGCATGTATTCCATAATTGCTGTACCAGTTCAAATTCTCGCCATCTTGTACACATCCTGTCACTTATTCCTCAATAAAGCTGTACAAAGACTGAAATGCGAAATAGCAGTAAATGTTCAAGAGGCTTCCAGTAGTATTATAGAGCTGGGGAGTGGGTCAAAATGATTAATATGTAAAAGAAATAAAAAACAAATGCTAAAGGATCTTGTATGGCACAATAGTGAGTGAATTAAGGTATGTGAAGGATGGAATATACATGAGATACAATTAAGAAGTAGAATAGACATGGTTGACTTATTACCATTTATGTTCTTGGTTTTTGAATAGTCGTTACATGCCCAAGCATCAATTCCTTTACCTTGGAACATGGAAGATGGCGAATTGTGAATGGCTCCCATTATGAATACAAAACCAAAGTAGTTTTCAGCTGTGACCCTGGTTATCATGGGCTAGGTCCTGCTTCTATTGAATGTCTTCCTAATGGTACCTGGAGTTGGAGAAATGAAAGGCCATATTGCCAAAGTAAGTATACACTCTGCTAAATTTATTTCATAAGCTGTCTTTGGTGATTAAATTGCTTAATCACTCCTTTTCCAAACACACTAGAGTAGTAATAAGATAATATTATTTAAAAGGTCATTTATTCTCATTACATTTACAGTTTTTCTACATATTTTTTTAAATTAGTAAATGCTTATGAAAAAAGCATAGGCTTTGGATTTAGAAATCCTGTGTTTGAATGCTAGGTCTATCTCCACAACAACTAGATAATGTTTATTGCATACTTACAACTTGCCAAGCACTGCTTTTAGCCCTTTATGAATAAATGAAATGTGTTATTTCATTTATTCCTTAGTTCTCATTCTTTAAATTAGTCGATATTATTATATTCATTTTATCAAAAAGGAAACTATATCTTAGATTAAATTATTTTATACAACTCATAGAGCCTATAAATGGTAGAGAAATTGGATTCAATCCAACTAGTCTGCCTACAACCCCTGGCTTTTAATCACTATGTTATATAATGTTTATTCTTTTTAACTCAAATTTCTTAAACTAGAAAATTACTAAAATGCCTATCTCATAGTTATTATAAAGATTTAATTGTATGAAGTGTTAAAAATATCAGCTAGAACCTGCTTCACAGGAGGAGCTCAATAAGTATTTATTGAATCAAATTAAACATTAAATCATGCTATTTCCATGCATTCTTATAGTATAATATAAATGGCCAGTGTTTAATGTACATAAACTAACCGAACTTAGGATATTCAAACGAAATATTTTTTTAAATTAAATTTATTGGGGTGACGTTGGTTAATATGATTATGTAGGTTTCAAGCATACAATTCTATAATGCATCATCTGTTTATTTCATTGTGTGTTCACCACCCAAAGTCAAACCTCTATTCATCACCATATATTTAACCCCCTTTACTGTTTTCTACCTCCCTCCTCCCAACTTTTCCTCTGGTAACTATTAAACTATAGTCCATGTCCATGAGTTTTTGTTTGTTTGTCTTGTTTATTTGTTGCTTTTAGTTTTATAGCCCACGTATAAGTGAAATCATATGTTCTCGACTTACTGCGTCTGACTTATTTCACTTAGCATGATATTTTCAAGATCCACCCGTGTTGTCACAAATGACAGTATTTTACCTTATGGCTAAGCAATATTTTTTATATATGTACCATATCTTCTTTATCCAATCATTTATCAAAGGACACTCTGGTTGTTTCCATGTCTTGGCCACTGTGAATAATGCTGCAATGAACATAAGGCTACACATGTCTTTATGGATAAATGTTTTCCAGTTTGGAGGTAGATACTCAGAAAAGAGATTACTGGGTTATATGGTAATTCTATTCTTAATTTTTTGAGGAACCTCCATACTGTTTTCCTTAGCGACTGCCAATTTACATTCCCACCAGCAGTGTATGAAGGTTCCTTTTCCCCACAACCTCTCTAACACTTATTTTTACATGTCTTGCTGATAATAGCCATTCTAACAGGTGTGAGAGAGTTCAAGAAGTAAAAAGCATGGTTTTGTTACAAGTGCATATTGACTTTGTTTTTAAGCATTTTAACTTTTTTATTGTTTTGAAGTTATTTCCTGTGGAGAACTACCTACACCTCCAAATGGAAATAAGATTGGAACTCAGACTTCATATGGCTCCACAGCCATATTTACGTGCGATTCAGGATTCATGCTTGTGGGCTCTGCTGTACGAGAATGCCTTTCTTCAGGTCTGTGGAGTGGATCTGAAACCAGATGCCTAGGTACAGATTTTTAAATCATTTTAACCAAACCTTTTTTCTTCACTTTGGAAAGAAAGCAGCCCTTTTTCTATAATATGAGATTATAACTTATATTCACTCAGTAAGGATTCTAAAAAACTAGAAAATATTTAACTTTGAAATGTCTCATACTAGAAAAGCTTTTAAACAGATAACTCTTAATCAACTAGTATTCCAAAGGAGAATCTTATGTTATTAAAGGAGAGACATATTTTCTTCCAGGCATGGTGAAAATAAAAAGATGAAAACTAATTGCTGATAATTATATTCTGCATACTCAGCTGAATTAATTGCTGTAGCAGTTAATTCACTATAAAACATAGTCAATTCTCCTTTCACTTATTTGCTTATGGTAATGACCGAAGAAGAAAAATATTTTCCATACTTTAAAATCTTTTCTTTCTTTTTATTTCACAAGATTTAAACATGTATAATGTTACTTTCTATTAAAACTTTAAAAATATGTTTTTTAAACCTGATTTTAAAGCAAATAGGATTTTTTTAGTATTAAAATGTTATTTTAATAATAAAATAATATGATTGATTCTTTATCTTTTTTCAAAGATTTCAATAATTTCTTTACTATGAAGAAAATGATATAATTTCTGCCTTTATTTTTCTCTAAAAAGATATGACAGCCAGTATTGAATTAAGTATAATGAAAATTGTTCTAATTATTCACTTGTCTGTTGTGAACAAGGCATAATCTTTTTGTTTAGTAACTGAAAAATTGCTGATCGCGATGAACAAGGTATTGCTAAATTTGCAATGTTTTATCTCTAAAATTTTATTCTTTAAGAATATGATCCATGGCAGAAAAGTCTATAACAATTTAAATACTTATTTTTTTGCTAATAAGCTTGAACATATTCATGGTAATACACTCATTATTTCAAACTTAAAAGGTATAGCTAGAGGTTTTAGTAAAAATTTTTTTTTCTCCTCTTAAGCATTGCCTTTTATATTGAATTGCCTTTTATATTGAATTGCCATTTATTATCCTAGCAATAATGGTCTCTTTATAAGAGTATATACATTTAAATGTGCTATAAGACTGCTATATAAAAAGAAAATAGTAAATAAATTAAATATTTATATATTAACATAGGATTAAATAATCAAGTAAACCGTTTCCTAGTATACAGTTTCTTAAACTGACTTTGGTTATGCTGATTTCAATTACAGATTACTTAGTTTACTTATAAATTTGAAAATGTATATGTAAACTAAATCTAAAATATTATACTTCATGGCTCTATGCCCTGACGTACTGGTTTTGTATATCATTTATTTAATATCATACATAAAGGGTGATTTTATTCATCTATTTACAATCTCAAGTTTGTTTTCTGAAGAGACAGGGCATAAAAGGAGTATTTACGAGAAAACATTGCCTCTCAGTCTGTGAAGACATCATTATCATCCATTGCCGAGGACACAGTGTTGACATCAGATATAAATTTAAAAGGATGATGGTAGAAGGAAAGTGCAGTTGCCAGACAAGCAAAGTTTAGTCCTTATACTTGGGGTGACCTGACAGAGTCAAGTAGCTCAGTCGTTCTCATGTTTGAAAACAGCTCGTTCTTGTCACTCCAGACATGTTTGGCTCAGAACGGCCACTAGAATGTGCTTATAATTGCTTCTCTAAATATAATGTATGTATTCCCAATCCCCCAGCATTTTATTATGAGTTTTTCAATTTTTCAATGGAAAGACTTGACATCAAACACCCATATGCCCACCCCCTAGATTCTATAATTAGCATTTTGTTATATTTGCTTATTGCTTATCTATCCATGCTTTCAGGCCTCCCTCAATCCATCAATTCATTTTATTTTTTGGTGTATTTTGAAGTAAATTGCAGAATTTGGTATACTTCATTGCTAAACATTTCAGCATGCATATCATTAGCTAGCATTCAATATTTGCTTACCATTCCCATTTTTTTTTAACTGTGGCAAAATGTATATACAGTGAAATGCATGTATCATAAATAAGCTGTTAGATGAGTTTTGACAACTGTGTACACCTGTGTAACTCAAACCACTCAATAGTTCTAGAACATTCTATTAGGTTTCTCATGGCTCTCCCCAGTCAGCCTGCAGCTCTCCTTCTCCTCAATCCTGAGACAGTAACCATTCTGACTTTTTTTTTTTTTACTATATGTCAGTTCTTCCTATCCTAGAAGTTTATGTGAATGGAATCCTAAATTATCTACTCTTCTGTGTAAGGCTTCTTTTATTTCCTTTCATCTATGTTCATGTATGTATTAGTGATTTCATATTTTTATCACTGAGTAGAATGCCATGGTACAAATATGCCACAGTTAGCCATTTCTCTATTGATGAAATCTGGGCTCTGACCAGTTTGGGGTTATTATTAATAAATCTGCGATGACTATTTGTATAAAATTCTTATTGTAGGCATATGCATTTATTTCTCTTAGATATTTAGGAGTAAAATTTCTGGAAGCGTTCTGGTTGTCTCACATTTTCTCTGACATATGGTGTAGTCAGTCTTAATTTCATTCATTCTGTTGGGTGCATAAAGTTATCTTACAAGATTTTTAACTAGCATTATGTTGATAACCACTGATGTAGTATAGTTTCTTGGGCTTATTGGCCATTTGTAAATTTTCCTTTGTGAAGTGGTAACCTTGAATTGCCTTTTATATTGAATTGCCATTTATTATGCACTTTGGAGTTTTCTATGTATTCTTGTTGCAAGGTCTTCATTATTATGTGTTTTATGAAAATTTTCTCTCAACCTATGACTTGCCTATTCATTTCATAATGCTGTCTTTTTGATGTGCAGAAGGTTTAAATTTCAATCAAGTCTATCTTATCTTTTTCTATTTCCTAAGTATTGCTTTAGGAGACATTCGCTTAGAGCCATAAGTCATAAAGATTTTCTTTTATGTTTTCTTTTGGAAATTTTATAATTTTTGGTCTTATTTTTATATCTTTGATTAACTTTTTATTTGTTATTGTAGGTATTATGAAAGTAAGGTTGAGGTTTGTTTGTTTGTTTGTTTGTTTCCAGAAGGACATTTGGCACTATTCATTAAATATATTTTATAATAAGTCTTGAAATTTTTTAAGTTGGTCCTCCAAATCAAGTCTGACTTTTCAAGATTACTTTGGATATTCCAGGTTCTCTGCAACTTCACTTAACTTTTAGAATTTGTTTATTGTATTTTATTTTTTAAAAAAGTAGGAAGATTATGATCAGGATTGCATTGTCTATAGATCATTTGTGGAGAATTGGCATCTAACAATATTGCATCTTCCAATTTGTGAACATAATATGTTTAATATATTCATTTATTTAGGTCTTTTAAAATTTTTCACAATAGCAATATTTTGTATGTTTAGCATATAGATCATGTACATCTATTGCTATATTTAGTCCCTAGAATATTTAGTGTTTACACTATAAGTGAAATTATTTACTTTTAATTACATTTCCCAATTGTTTGCTGCTAGTATATAAAAATATAATTATTTAAAATATTTATCTAGTATCTCACAACCTTGCTAAATTCACTTGTCAGTTTTAGGATTTCTTAAAATAGGATGTTCTGCAAATATATCATCTGAGCATAAAATAGTTTTACTTTTTGTTTCCCATTTGTATGCTTTTTCTTTCTTCCTTTGTATGAATGTATTGAGCTAGATAAGGCCAACCAATGTTAAGAAGAACTTGTGAGAGTGGACATCTTGTCTTGTTCCCTGTAAAATGAGTAAAGAATTCAACATTTCCTCCTTAAATATGAAGTTAACTGGAAGTTATTTTAGATGTCTTTTGGTGTTCTGAGACTCAATTTTCAACAATAAGCAGTGCTCCAGACAACAGTTGAGTGTGCTACTGTTCAACTCAATTCTAACACTATCTAACCAGAAATAGCGTCAGATTTCTACAAGTTAAGAGTTCAGTCCTACAGAACTGTCCCCCACCTCCATTTCAGATGCCAGTCACAAGCCCAGGTTGTTACCTGTGCTTCTGAAAGAGCAGCTTTGAATTAGGGATTCCAATGATCCCTTTCTTGAGTTTGATTAATTTTCTAAAGAGGTTCACAGAACTCAGAAAAATATTTTACTTCCTAGCTCACCAGTTTGTTATAGAAGGATATTACTCAGAAACAGTCACATGGAAGAGATAGATAGAGCAAGGTATGTGGGGAGGGCGAGAAGCTTCCTCGCTTTCTGAGTTCACCACTCTTCTTGAATTTCTACTTGTTCACCAACTCTTAAGCTCTCCGAACCCTGTCTTTTTGTGTTTTATGGAAACTTCATTAGAAAGGCATGATTGATTAAATCATTGGCCATTGCCGATTAATTCAGCCTTTAGCTCTTCACCTTTCACCCCTCTCTGGAGGTCAAGGGGGTGGGACTAAAAATTCCAATCCTCTAACAACATGGTTGACTCCAGTGGCAGCCAGCCCCCACCCTTGGGTGTGGTCCAACGTCACCTAATTAACATAACAAAAGACACCAAGACAAAAATATATTTCTTATTATAAATCACAATATTATAGATGTCTTTATCACGTTGAAAAATTTCCTTATATTTTTAATTTGCTGTTAGTTTTTGTCATAAATGAATATTTGCCAAATGCTTTTTCTTCATCTATTGAAATAATCATATATATTTTTTTCTCCTTTACTCTGTCAAAATGGTAAATTACAGCAGTTGATTTCCCATCTTAAACCAAGTGTTCATTTCTGGATAATCCCCAGATATGATGTATTATTACATATGTATGTTTCTAGATTGATTTTTCTAAAATTTTGTTAAGGAGTTTTGCATTTATGTTCATAGAAGACATTGTTTCATGTGTCTTTTCCAGGAGTACTACTGAGGCTATGATTACCTCATAACACAAGTTAGAAAGTGATTTTTTTTCTCTTCTATTTTCTAAAAGAGTGTAAGATTGGTATTTTCTTTAAACTTAAATGTTTGATCAAATATATCAGTGAAAACAGCTGAGCCAGAATATATTTTATGGGAAGGGTTTTAAAAATTCAAATACTTTAATAGATAAAGGACTACTTAAATTTTCCATTTATTCTTGTGTTATTTTTGTATGATATGATTTACAAAGAATTTGTCTTTTTCTTCTAAACTGTTAAATGTATTTGCATACAGTCATTCTTCATACTTCTTTATACTTTTAATTTTTGAAAGCTTATAGTGATATCACTCTGTTCATTCCTGTTATTGAGAATGTTGTTCTCTTTGATTTTATGTTGATAGGATTAGCTAGGAGTTTAACAACCTTTTTGCTATTTTTAAAGAAAATGTTTAGCTTAGATAATGCTCTTTATAGTTTTTCTATTTTCTATTTTATTTTTTTGACCGTCTTTAATATATTCTTCCATCTACTTACTTTGGCTTTCTTGTCACCTCTTTGTTTTGCTCCTCTTTTTTCTCTTCTTAATGTGGAATTTTAGGTCATTGAGTATGTATCTTCTATTCTTAAGCACTTAATGCTATAAATCTCCCCACTAACCACTGCTTTATCTGTATTCCTCAAATTTTGATGTTATATTTTAATTTTTATACAGATCTTTTGTTTTCTAATTTCTTCTAGATCCATGTTACTAGAAGTGTTTTCTTTTAATTCCTTAACATATGACATTTTGCTAAGTATCTTATAGTTATCTTTATGTCATATAATCATGTTAGCATTATTTGTGGCATGCTGCTAAAGTAAACTTTAAAAGTTTAATAATGTTATATACAAATATAAATACACAAAAATAACTTAGACCACAATATTAAAAATATTTCTTTCTGACCCATTTCAGCGGGTCACTGTGGAATTCCAGAACTAATTGTGAATGGTCAAGTCATTGGAGAAAATTATGGTTATAGAGACACAGTTGTTTATCAGTGTAATCCTGGTTTTCGATTGATTGGTTCCTCAGTGAGAATATGTCAACAGGATCACAATTGGTCTGGTCAACTCCCATCCTGTGTGCGTAAGTAAGCATGGCGAAATAATTAGAGACCTCTGTTCTCATGCATTTATCAAAATTTTTTTTTCGGTAAAATATGTAAGTAAACACACACACACTCATATATATAAATATATACGTATATATGTTTATGGATGAACACATAAACTAAATTCTCACAATTCACTTTTTATACTGCTGTGCACTGGTCTTTAAAGTGGGGTGTGTTCAGAAGCATATAAAACCTCTACTATGAAAGAAGAAAATATTATTATATTACACCATATTATGTCTGTTATTATGTTTTATCATTAGGATGAATGGAATTCAGTTTTTCTAGTATTTAATATAAATATATAATGCATATCTCTTTAAAGAAGGTATATTCTTGACAAATTTTAGTTATAAGGATTTTAATTTCTTTAGACCACTGTGCAGTAGCATCAATATTGTTGTGATGTAATACCATGAAATTTTTTAGAGTGGAAAATACTTTGGATAAATTTTTTTCTAATAATTATGATGCTATAAGCCATTGAATCAAAATCAGATCCTCACGGAGTATAATTAGTGTTGGGGGGCGGTCATGAGATATGACAGGGAAGACCATTGTTCTCATTTCAATTCCTTTGCTAATCTCTAGGCTCTAATTCCCTGATATAGAGAGTGAATTCACACATGAAGAATAAAATTGATTTTAAAACAATACCTTTGTATTATTCTTTAAATATACCTGCTATTTTGTGGTGCCTATATGTATGACATAGATTTGCCATTGTGCATTTATGACTGTTATACTACTAAAATCAGAATATAGTTGAATATTGAAAAATATTATTTTTTCTTACCCCACTGAATCCCTAGCAGTATATAATGTTTCACATCATAATTTATCCTATTTTGGACCTAAGAGTCAATAATCAAAGTGTTTCTTATTTTTTTCTTATTTCTATCCCAATTACTGACATTTATATTAAAATTGGTATTAGAAAATGAGAACACTATAAATATCTTATAATTGCAATATACCTTATGGGATCATACAATGGGATTTTGGGGGCTTCAGATAAATAATGCATGGGACTTTTAGTGTGGATTCACAGAAAATATTTTATTTATTCTGTGACTATATCCATAGTTATAAATTTTGACATTGTCAAATTTTTATTCAATCAGCAGAAATTTATTGGAGTGCTAGTTTCATGGAAAATAATTTTGTGTGTTGAGATTTAATAGGATAATAGAGCATATGGTTAACAATTAAAATTATTTTTCTAAGGGGTGTATGTGTGTGCTTGTATGTGTGTGCACATACATGTATACATCTCCATGCATGCACACACACACATACACACACAGATTGTCTGATGATCTAAAGATGGCAGTATTATGCTTGAGTCTGTCCTAGATTTTTTCCTTTTCATTTATATTCAAACATAGCTAACTAATACCACTGTTTCTCTTGTTGAATAATTGAGACTATAAATGAAAATTGGTCCTTGGGGTAAAACTGGTTGCTTTATTGATAATTTTAACAAGAATAAAGTGCAGTTAAATTTCCAAACGAGTAGGTTGACATTAACAATACCACTGAAAAATAATTGCTCTTGGGTCATTCCAAAAGTACTAAAAGTGTTTTTGCGTTGTGCCCAATTATGAAGCACTGTTACTGGAGTTGCTCTGATTAATAGAGTAAGATGATGTGGTAAAACAGTTCATAGAAATACAGAGTATTTGGGAAAAGCCAGTACATAAAATCTAGAATAGAACTGTAACACTAAAATAATTTAAATAGCTCATCTAAAACAAAATTGTACTAAATTATCAAATATCAATTGAGAAGAAAATAAACCAGTAAGAATTCTAATACAGAATCATTTTTATTGTCCATTAAATTGTTTTGTTTTCTCATTAAATTATTCTTCAAACACACCTTTGCTTATCAATCTATTATCATAAAAAGTGATTATATATTAAAACAAATAATTCCAAAGTTAAATACAAAAACCTTCCCTTAAGTGTCTTATAATTCTTAAACTTAACTAGAAAAGGAAAATTTGTTCATTTTTATTCCTTTTTCTCCTAATGACAGAAACTTCAGTCATTCCTAGATTTTTTGAACTTCAGTATTCTTCCCTAAAAAAGAAAAGAGAATAAAAATATGTCATGAAACTTTAAACATCCCTGTACCACTTGCATAAAATTATCACGATTGTAAATAATTGTCTAACTAATATTTCTGTTATATTAGATTGTTTTGGCATTCTCAATTACTCTTTTGCATTAGTAAAAGTACTTTAGATATATTTTCACATAAAAGTGGTCTTCTTTCTACATTGTTTGAAATGACTAAGGGTAATGGTCATGTGATAACTGATAACCAGATATTCTGTTTTGTGCTTTCCTTGCCCCGACTCATTGCTATTAGCTGTCAGCTGTGGTCATCCCGGTAGTCCAATTTATGGAAGAACAAGTGGAAACGGATTTAACTTTAATGATGTGGTAACATTCTTTTGCAATATTGGGTATCTTATGCAAGGTCCAACAAAGGCACAGTGCCAGGCCAACAGACAGTGGAGCCATCCTCCACCAGTGTGCAAAGGTAAAAGCCTTACTATATTCCAGTTTAGAGCATGGTAATAATGTGCCTATGTAAATGTAGATGATAACATTCGAAACAGTTTGAGTAGAACAGGGGAAAGATTTAGCTAATAAAAAGATTTAATGATGATATCATCTCATTATTAATGCTTTCTTTTTTCCTTCATTTTTAACATCTTTTTTCTTAGTTAAAAATGTCAGGCTTTTTTTCAACTGCTTAACTTTATTATCTTGTACCCATTTTATGGCTGCATATAAAAAGTCATTAAGACTGTTTTACTTGTGATTTGCTTCATAATTAATAGAACTTACCTTTGGCGTTTGTTTTCTTCATATCTTTGGAAGAATATATTTGAGGCCAGAATTGCCATGATGGCTGCATTGGGGGCATTATTTATTAAGTTTTCTCTACGGAAACAGATTAAAGAGAATTTTTTGGTGTTTTTCTATTTTTGCAAAGAAGGATGGTATACTTCATATTGTCTGATAAAACACAACCAAACATTATTTTTTCATTTTTATTATTTATAGCTTAAAATGTATCATTTTTAAAATCTATGCTCAGCAGAATACTTGCTATTGTTAAAAAATGTTGAGAACCATATGATTTCACTTATATGTGGGATACAAAACTGAAAGCAACAAATGAACAAGACAAACAAACAAAAACTCATAGATACAGAGAACAGTTTAGTGGTTCCCAGAGGAAAAGGGGAAGTGGGATTGTAGATAAGGATAAAGGGGGTCAAATATATGGTGATGGTTAGAAGGAAATCTAACTTTGGGTGGTGAACAGTATACATATGATGTATTATTGAATATACACTTGAGACTTATATAATTTTATTAACCAGTGTCACTCCAACAAATTTAATAATAAAAAAATTGCGAAAAATTTTTCTTTTTTTTATATTTTCATCCACGAAGATTTTACTTCATTACTTTAGATAGTCCATGTATTTTATTTCTGGAATCTTTGATTCGTTTGATTAAATTTACTGTTGAAACTAAATTTCTAAATCTATTAGGAAATCTATGTCGGTATATGTATATTATTTCAAACATATCTTTTAAAAATTGTCATTTGTTTAGTGGTAAACTGTTCTGATCCTGGAATTCCAGCCAATTCCAAAAGAGAAAGTAAAATAGAACATGGAAACTTCACTTATGGTACTGTAGTATTCTATGACTGCAATCCTGGATATTTCTTATTTGGGTCTTCAGTTTTGATATGTCAGCCCAATGGACAGTGGGACAAACCTTTACCAGAATGTATCAGTAAGTAGATAATGTTAATTTTTTTCTTGAGAAAATGCCATGGAAGCAGCATGGATGTTTATTGTTTTATAAAATATCTAGAGCTATATATCAGGATTTTGTTTTTAATTATTATTTTAATTATTTTATTTTAATTTAATTTTTGATTTAATTATTCCATTGTTTTGAAACTAAACTTTTCTGTGTTTTGCCAGTTCAATGCCCAGATGTCATTTTTATTAATATTAATGTGATGGATATCTCCCTACCATTCACTCATTTTAAACTTTGAAAGAGCAGACTGAATATGAAGAGCAGATATCTTACATATTGTATGATATTACCATCCCATAAGAGGCAACTACATTTTAATTTTCTTTTATACTAATATTGCAAATTTAAAGCTATTTTATTCTTAATGTAAACAGCCAACAGGGCTTCAGAATAGTTGGGGATTTAGACAAAGGTGTTACTTAAAACTTATTGATCGTAAATGTCATATTCAAACACATACACATATGAATGCAGTAAACATTCATCTTTCAAGTCATTTTGTTATATGTTGTATGGAGTTATAGAATATAACTAAGTTAAAGTACAGCAGATATGCATATATAGACTGTGTAGTGAGAAAATAATTTAACAGAAATAAATAAAAATTATTTGAGGCGAGGCAAAGTGAACATGAATTCTAAAAATTCGGGAGGTTGATAGGTTGTAAATACAGCTACATTTCTCAAAGAGTTGGTGAATCTTGGACATGATAGTAAAAAAAAACTTCATAGATTGGAGTAGTGTGTCAAGAAGTCATTGTGCAAGTAATTTTTGGTTATGCTTAATTTTTAAATTGTAAAATTATTTTTGATCATGTTTTACTTAGAGGCACTTTCTTCATGTTCATGGGGTGGGATTTTCTGAAAATTTTATAACATCTTTCATGCACTGATGAAAAATTTTATGCCATTTATTAAATTTCAGATTCTAAGAAAATAATTAAGTCAGTTGTTGATTTCGTGGTTAAAATGTGCTTGACTTCTTATTTGAGACTGACTGGTCTAAAAGTTTGATTAATTCACTTATTTGGCTCCTGTGGCTGGCTATAACATTAAAGTTAAAAATCTCTTAAAGTACAGATAAACATGAACTTTGTCAGATTCTCTTAGGTCTCATATACCTTTTTTGCCATTATTTCCTCTAGTACTCCCTGGTAGTGTGCCAAGTACTCAAGGGTTTTATTAAGTTTATGTCACGTTGGGTGCTATTTAATACTCTAGATTCATGCTGTACTTAATATTTTTCCAAGTTACAAATAAAAGGGGGCACACAATAAGTTCCCAAGCCACTTCTATGTTATAAAGAAAATTCTGCAGTGTATTGACATCTGATCCTGCTATGCGTAGCAGTGCTTTGGTTAACTGACCACTGAGTATTTTCTTTGTACAATATAATTTATTCACTGATGACCTGGAATGGAATTATTCTAGACTACCCATTAGATTGCGTGTCACAGATCTAGTTTTACTCCCTATCCTTTACCTTCAATGTTTTCTCCTTTTAATTTCTGTATGGGCTCATTTTGAATCATATTGGCATCCTCTGTCCTTACTTAGCCAATCTGCCTTACTCCTCTCCCTCATTTCCACATCTTTGTCTGGGCTCATAGGTCCTTCAAACCTGTACACATGAGCATATGAGCACACCCTCACCACCCCTACACATACAGACTTATGCTCAGTCATTTATGCTTACTTACCCAAGGTGAGTGGGTTAATAGAATCGCTCCTGTAACTGCAGCTTCCATTTTATTTTTTAAAAAGCCAACTTTCACATAGATGTTTGACTTCTGGAGGTTGTATATATTTGAGCAGACCATTTACTTTTTGTAAAATGTTGGTGCAGGTTATTCGAGAGGAGATATAAAAAAATTTTATATTCAATAATTATGTATTGTAGTGATTGACTGTGGACACCCTGGCGTTCCTCCTAATGCAGTCCTGTCTGGTGAGAAGTATACCTTCGGGTCCACTGTTCACTATTCCTGCACAGGAAAACGCATCCTTCTAGGCCACTCATCAAGGACTTGCCAATTAAATGGCCATTGGAGTGGATCCCAACCTCATTGTTCAGGTACCACTTGCAAAATTGGACAATGTGTGTTGGAAATCATGTCATTAGTAGTAGTATTGGAAATGTATACACAAAACATTCTAAAGAGGTACAGTGATACATTTCTTTTGTAAAACTCTGAGAGAAGCTGTCGCATTGTTTGTATATTTATTGGAATACTTCTTAAGGTCATTTAAATTCAGAGTGCAAATTAATAATCATCTTGTAGATGGTAAGTTACAGATATATGTTTTGAACTGTGTTGTGCCTAATGTAAAGAATTAAGTGGTTTTAGGATGCTACTCTGTATAAAGTGCTTTTGTTCCTTAAAATGGTGAACCACTTAAGTAGCTATTCTATTTTGGCAGATACCAAATATAATTTTCCCCAGAAAACAATGTTATATCAGTGATTTTCTGTTAGAATTCAGATCTATTAAACTTTCTAAACAATTATTACTTAATGGCATACTTTTAAATAAAGTCTTAAATGTCTCAAATTAAACTAAGCCAAGTTTTATGAAAGATATTTATCTTTCCAAACTTTCTTTGTTATTAACAGGCAGCTTATAACTTCTGAGTCTCTGTAACCTCACAATGCCATTATTAATATCTTAGAAAAAATGAATATCAATGCTTAATTCATAAATTTTCACAGAGTATTTGATACATCTTTTTTGATCTGTTTTTGAAGTATTGCTTTTTTTCAAAAATGTCATTTAAATTTTAGATCTGTGACGTCTCCCTATGCGATACTACCTAGTATATTTGTTTTTACCCATTACCTGTTGGTACTTATTTTTCTGCCTGTTTTTTTATTTGTATATTGTCCATTATCTTTATATCATCTTATCTCTGTGGAGGTCATGGTGAACATTTATTAGTATTGTTTGACACTGATTTTCCTCTAGAGGTAAAAGTTGCAAAATGATTATTTCAGAATCTCCTTATAACTAGTGGTTAATCCCTGTGAAATAACTTCCTGGGACTTGAAATTTAATCTATAGATTTAAAAAACTATCATTTTTTTAATGTGGCTATAAAACTGATTTTAATGAGAATTAAAACCTTTAGCTTGGAGTAACTCATAGTTAATTAACTCAGTCAGATAACTGATTATAAATAAAAACACATAAACTTACACACAATACACCCAATGTATTAGGAAACTGCTACTGAATTGCAAAAAGAAAAAAAAGTACACAGATTTTTAAAGGTGAAATGCTTATGTTAAAATTTTGTGTGGTTGTTAATATAATATCACATGAAAATGAGGAAGTGTAAAGAAGGATTCCAAATATGCAGAGTATGTCAAAAAGGCATCCAGACAGGCAGAAAGCATTTTAAGTGTATTCATATCCGTCTCTCTCTCTGTCTCTCTCAATATATACTAATACAGTGGCAACTCTATTAGAGTTATTTAAGAAATGATAAACAGGCTGAGTAAATCCTTAACACTATAATCAAAAGATGAACAACTGGTCATGAACAAAATTCTTATGAGGAACTTAGCCCAAAGTTTCTCATCTTTAATTATTTACAATTTATTTTTATATTTCACTTAGAAGAAGTATGTAGTTCATTTATCTTGGTCAGTGGTCTCTGGTAGGGAAAATTATGGGGTGAAATTTTAGGGTACAGGAAACACTATATTGTAACATTTACATTTTCCATCATAGTTCTAAGTTAACAACAACAAAACAGATTTTCAGTAATTAGAAAATTCAGAGAAGGAAACATGCAAATTACCAAATCTAGCTTTTTATTTTAGTTTTATAAATCCATTGTCATTTGAGCCCATAGTACTGTTAGTTATAAATTTTCTATTAACTTGATTATTAACCGGGTTCTGGAACTACTAATAAAAACTCCTTACACTATTTAATAGGACTAGATATCACTGATAAAGAAAATAACACTATACTCTGCAACTATTTTCCTTTTCGGTTAGGCTTTTTTTATGACTCGATTCAGATGGGAAATAGGAATTATGATTTTACCCAGTCAACTTATCATGTTAAAAACAGCATGCACAGAAACAGATACCTACAAGAATGTTGGACTAAATCATGAACATAGTAAATGTTTATTGAAGTAAATTAACTCGAACTGTACTGACTTTCAGGTGATGCTACTGGTACATGTGGGGACCCAGGTACCCCTGGTCACGGTTCTAGACAGGAAAGTGATTTCAGAACCCAAAGTTCTGTACGTTTTGCTTGTGATACTGGTTATATCCTTCATGGCTCAGAAGAAAGAACATGTTTAGCTAATGGCAGTTGGACTGGAAGGCAGCCAGAATGCAAAGGTAATCTCAAGCAGAAATTAAATATATTAAAAGTGCTAGAATTTAATGTGTATCCAAATTCAACTGGTTATTACTAGTAGAATTACTCCTATCAGTTCTTTGTGTCCCCAACCATGGAATAAAAGCAGTAGTGTTTCAGTTTTACTGACAACATCCTATAAGAGAACTATGCTAGGTAATTATAAAAAGTATCTCTCATGGGTCATTTATAAACAAACGTTCACATCTTAGTAGACATCTGGATTGGAAAAGTTAAAAATATTCATTCAAAAGTTTTATTTTCCTACTTTGTCACAGTGCTCTATGTAGATACTATCAGGGGAAAAAATAGATTGTTCTTACATCAACATTATCTTAAGATCTGTTTTAGTTTTTAGGTTTGTAGAAATTGAAAGATATAGAAAGATGCTTAAATATAAGAGATTTTTATTTATAGAGTATGTCGCTTGTGACTAGAAATCTTAAATTGGGGATGTTTGAGTAAATTTGTTAATTCTTTTGACTGATTCGGAGTTAATATAACTAAAATTTTATAAGATTGTTTAACACAATGCATTATTTGTGTGTGTGTGTGTGTGCGCGCACACGCGCCTTACTGCTAAATTATACACCTGAAACTTACTAGATTTCATTAACCAATGTCACAATGACAATAATAACAAAAAAGATTGGTTAGAAAATGAAATATTGCTGGAAAATTATCCTTATGATTTAAATTGTTCTTTTTGAGATGATTTTAGTGTAAAAACTAAACTTACAAAGGTATTTATGATACTTGATATTATATCAAATGTATTGGTTTTATAAACAGGGAATAATTCCCAATAGAACCTCTTGTGAGTTTTTTGATTGATTATATTTCAGAAACTTCTATTGTGTTTAAAATTAGTATCCATATTCTAAGAAATATACTAAGTAAGACTTAACTGTTCACTTTATTTCTCAAACTTACTTTCCAAAGGCAAAATCTCTATAATGATGTCATATATTACATGGGTGATATTTTAGTCAGCCCTTTGTTCAGCTGAACTGCAGAATATTTTTTAGATGAAATACAACCTGGAGTTGACTTCATTTTGTTAGTATGCACTTTGCAGATAAATGAGAACTAGGACTTGTAGAAAATATAATAGAATTCATTTATTTTTCATACATGAAGCTCATATAGGTCACTTAGAAAAACAGACTTTAGTAGATGAATAGACAGAAAATACAAGAGAGCAAAAAATAAATGTGACCTATAGAAAAATGTTCTACATAACTACTAATCAGAAAATTATTTAAAATGTTATCATTTTCTACCTATTTTAATATGAAATGCTGGTGTATATGCAGCAAAACTAGAAATTTAAAACATTTCTAGAGACATTTTTGTTATTGTAACATATTTAGAGTAATTTGAAAAAATGCATATATATTCACATTTTACATATAGCATTGATTTAACTCTATTTTTGATTTTTTCCTAAAGAAAATCAACATATTAAAGAAAATACATAACAGTAAAGATACAGTTTTTATAAAAGCTTTCCTAGAATGTGATGGATAAAATACATGTGAAAGTAAAAATATCGAACCTTAATTTAATAAAAACATGCAAATTTAAATAATATAGCTTTTTTTTGACAAACTGAAAGATTTTTAACAGTGATGGCACATGATATTGAAGAGGATGTGCAAACTTTTACACTATTGATCCAAGTATGTATTGTGATAATATTTTTAGTAACCCTATATACTTCAAAAAATAAAATAAAAATATATTTAGAATTTTTTAAATATTTCAAAAAGTCCACTCTTAGAAATTTATCTTTGAAGTAGGACAAGTACACACAGTTATATATATAAGCTAGAGAATGTGATAACCAAAAATGATAAACTAAACTAAATTTCATGTTTATCAACAGGGGATTGTTTAGGTTAATTATGAATATGCATATGATGGAAAACTATCCAGTTACTAAATTTACTTGTTAAGTAAGAAGAATAAGATTACAGAAAAGAATGCATAGCATAGTTCTGTTTTTAAAAATGATAATATTTTACTACTGAATACTCTGTGCTTTGCACAATGCCTGAAATCGGCATCAAAATGAATATATATTCATATTTCTATATGAACATTCATGTAAATATACATATATACATACTTTGTCAAGTTAATCTCTCAGTGGTAGATTTATAAGTGATCTTTAATTTCCTCCTTATACTTTCATTTTTTTTTGAATTTTTAGATATGGGTACTTAACCACCTTGATAAAAAGAAAAAAAATGATACAGTAATTATAAAATAAAAATTAACTCTAGCAACAAAAGAAAAGGCAGACATATAAAATATTCTGTATAATGTATCTAACATGAAAAATAATTAATCGACAAAAATATGTTTAAGCCATTCATTTACTAGCCTGAATAAGATCCAATATTCTCATTATATGCTGTCAAAATCTTTTGGAGGAACTTGTACTAATGAAAATCTGCCATTAACTAGCTGTGGGACCTTGGACACATTACTTAATCTTTCTGTGCCTTGGTTCCCAACCAAGAAATGGTGGCAATATTAATATCAACTGATAACATTGTTGTGAGTTTAAAAAATACTGGAAAAGCTGTGGCTGTCACATAAGTGCTCAATGAATGTTAGCTAACACTTATACTCGGTTAAGTCAATTGGCAGCTCAGAATGACTTTCTAGGAGAGATAGCATTGTTCGCTAGTACCAAACATAAATGGGTCAGCAATAAAACCCTCAACCCCAAATGTCAGTATTACAAAGGCAAAATAGTTGCTGCTTTTCTGCTGTGTCCACAGAGCTTTCAGCCCTCAGTCATGATAAATGATGCACTTAACCTCTTTTCATTTTAAGTTAGTTTTACTTGTGTTTAATTCAAATAATGCTCTGGGTAAGAAAAATGTGTGTGTTAAGTGTGGAGGAATTAGAGACAAGAAGATAGGAGTGACAATTTGATTTGTCCATATCTAGAAACCACCCTAACTAGAGAAATTCTTAATTTTTATTGTGGAAAAGAATAGACTGAGCCTGGATCCATATATCAAAATGCATATCACCTGACATTTTAAAACAAAGATGATATTTTTCAAATCCTTCTTAGGTTGTGTCAAAACAATGGATCATGACACATAAATATGACGAGATTGTTACTTTAGGCAGGTACTAATGAATATAGCACAGGGTTATTACTCTTGACAACAGAAGTAAAAATGTTTACTATATCATAGGTTCTCCTGAAAATATTACCTAGAGTTTGATCTGGTTGTAATTGTATAAAATGTGTAAGTTTTCTGTCTATGCACACATACATACAAACATATAGCACTGCTGTAAAGGATAAGCAAAATTAAATATTTAAGATGGAGCAAGTGATATAGTTGGTATTTTCTGAAACTATAATTACTCTTCATATTCATAAAGATAGCTTTAAGTTCTGTAAAGTATTAAAATGCCTTCTTATATTACAACAAAATTAAGTATTACATTTGACATGGGCTTGCTTTTAAGATACTTTTATAATTCACTATGGCATTGATGGCAAATAGTTAAACATAATACAGAATAGTTAATTATATAAGGCATTGTGTTTGTGACTCCTGTTTAAGATATGTTGAAAACTTCATGAAACCCATTTCTAGAACTTACTTTGTTTTTACTATTTATTTTTTGTATGCCCTGGTCCATAAATAGAGATTATAAAGGTGTCATGCAAATCAGTTATATTCTTATATAAATAAAAATATAAACGGGTGTCTAAAATATTTAAATTGTGTATTTTATATCTATTCTCTTACAAGTATAATTACAATAAATCTCTTGCATCTCATTCTTATGTATCTTCCCATTTTACATTAGTTGCTTTGGAGGTGAAACTCTCATAATCCTTCCTTGAAAGATTTTTTTTTGTATCCAAAGGCAATATTCTTGAGTAATTACTTTATAAAGTTTTTACTGAAGCTACTAACAAAGTCTTTTAAAAAAATAACTTATACGATTCACATCCCAGTAATTAAGCTAATAAAATCAATATAAATTCATTTTGAATTTCAAGCACTTATAAAAGATAATTTAACATTTATTTTATAGGATTTTATAGGTCCTTTGGATAATTCAAAACAAACATTCAGTCATTAACTTTTTGTGAGAGGGTTTCTAGTTACACTCTTTTTATATATCCTCTTAACTATTTTGTTTTATAGCTGTACAATGTGGTAACCCAGGAACAACAGCCAATGGAAAAGTCTTTCGGATTGATGGCACAACATTTTCAAGTTCAATAATTTATTCCTGCATGGAAGGGTATATCCTCTCTGGCCCTTCAGTTAGACAGTGCACAGCCAATGGAACGTGGTCTGGAACTTTGCCTAACTGTACAAGTAAGTTTCTTCTCAATATTTTTAAACTTCACTAGTTATGTGAAAAGTATTTGGATATGTATGTGTCTGTTTTGTAATTAATCAAACCACGCAAGGTTTTGAATATTCGTATTGTCTTTCAGATTAAAAGATGATAGTAATGTGTGGTTAGCGTTTATACTAGTAACTTTAAGAATCAGTTGGCTTACCATGGTACTACATTGGCGATGAAAGAAAGGTCACAGAAATTAGTGCTATTAAAAGTAATTTAACAGTATTTTAAGAATAGAGGCGAATTATCAGCTATAATCAAGATTAATAACAAAGAATATAATTTTATTTTGCCCATCTAACACATATCAATAACTGGTTTGGTTTTTAAAAAAACATAATGATTATTAATGGGTTCTTACACTATTTGTAGGAAGTCCTAGTAGCTGATTTGCCCTCTTAATACGTTAAAAAAAATTGCATTTTAATGATTCTGTATTATAATGAAATTAATCACTTGAAGAAATTTTTAAAAATTTATTTTAAATTCTATATATAAATTAATCCTTATGTATGAAATAAAATAGAATTTATTTAACCAAGAACAATACATCCATTGGAAAATTATGGTTGTTTATATTTATTAAAAGAACTTTAGTGGCATCATGTAAATCATGAATTTTTATTTTAAAGAGCTATTTAGAATGTGTTCTGATACTGTAGAAGTCATGAGAGGTTACTAAGCCTTTATAGTAAGAGACTATAGAGAAACTAATGGGAGTGTCTTGTGTATTACAAATTTGACAGGTTACAGATACTTTTGCTATAGGGAACCTTAATAAAAGTAGGCCAGTTTGTGAATAACAACATAAATTAGCTTAAGTTAAATTTGTAAATGAGGAACATGTTGCTTCCAAGACCCAAAAAAGTGTTGGATTTATTTTAAAGTGTGGTGCTAAAGCCAATATTTGCTCTTGACAATGTCAGTGGTGGAGCAGCCCTTGGCTGACCTAATAATTCCCAAAACTTTAACTGAGAAGACAGGCCTTATACTATGTGTGGGGCAATGATCTGTCCCCTCTTTTTTTTCTTTAAAACCTTTGTTAGTATTTATATTTCCTGAATGAATGGTTCAAATGAATCTACTGAGAGGAGGATGCCATCAAAGTAATATCATGTCATATCTGTGATTCTGGAGAAAATTGATTGTAGTTAATATCTTCTTGCAGAATTGTGTGTAATAACATGGCTATTGAAATACCCTGTGTATATGGCATCTCTTCAAAGGTGAAGCAAACTATGGCTAGGAGGCTATTGAAATAAGTACTGAATGGAGCATAGTAGCCAAATCCATGTTAGCAAAACATTTTCCAGTTGTTGATTGCAGTTGGTAACAAGTAATATCTCTGGCACTGTGTCAGCACTAAATACTGTTACGTCTCATCTTTTGGTAATTCTCTACCTCACCTTAGGTAGTTTCCTCACAGACTGACCAGTATTCTGCTGAATACTCAAGGAGTTCTCTCCCTAGATCTCCAGAGCTCTCTTTCTGTGCACATCCTATCCGTAATGTCTCTCACAGACTCTGTCCACTTTGCTCTCTCCTGACACTTAGATCCATCTTTTCAATGCAAGGAATGGTCTAGGCTCTACACAGGGTCCTCTTCCCTGTGCTTCAGCCTGGAAATGATCTTAAACAAGTAAGATTGGGTAGTCAAAGGACTTGTCTCATTTGTTTCCTGTCACTCAAGGATCACTGTGCATTCTTGCCTTTGGAAACCTGTTTCTGTTTTTTATTTTGTTGTTTTGTTTTGTTTTCATATTATGTCCTTTTTCTTTTTTGTTGTTGTTTCAAATGGAGAGTAAAGTCTTCACTATTTCTCCTTAAAAGAAAGAAGCTATCCTACTTTGAAAATGTCTCAATTTTGCAAGACCGAACAATCTAACAATTAACAAATAGGCTTTACTGTTTCCATACTATTCTGCCCCATCTGAGCCTTAAAACTATTACCGGGTACCTTTTAAGTATCAGTTCACATGATACACATTTGGCAAAAGCCTTCTCAGAACACTACTTTCTCATATACCTTTTACTTAAAAGTGATTGCTCTATACTGTATAACTCGTTTATAGCAATTACCTACTGGTAAACTATAAACTCCATGGGGCAGTAGGAACCAGATCCATTTACTTCATCAACCTTGTAGGGTGGAACACAGCATCTAACACAGAAGAGTATCTCAGTAGACAGTTGTTGACTGCCTCAGATCTCTCCTATAAATTTTATTTTAGCCGTTAGTATACATGACTTATCATCCCACTCCATTTTAAAGTACTTGCAGAGAAGGCTTGTAATTTTACAGATAACATTGCACATATTTTCTAGTTGATAATATGCTTTTAATATATAGTTATGGAAAAGATTGACAGTGAGTATAGTCAGAGTAAAAAAACTGCTGAGTAATCCATCTTTTTTCATAATGTGAATAATGATTTTTATTTAATCATGGATAATCTATTTCATTTAAGATATTTTCCAATTTTAGTAAAGATAAACAATAAACATATCCCAATTCCTGAGAATGAAAATTACATTTTTTAAATTGGGTCATCTTAATTTTTCCTAAGGAATTTTAAATCAAGTTGAAAATCACTCAAGACAGATTGGTTACAAATAGCATATTAAAAATATAAAGAAAGAAAGCCTTTTTTTTTTAAATGTCATATCTTCAAGAAGAGATATTGTGTTGAGTAAGGTGTTTTAAGCATTAGCTTTTAAATGATGAATTGCTATTAATCTAAAAACTGAGATTTTGTAACAGTTGACTTCATATATGAAAAAGTGCTAACACTCTAGGAGCAACCCAAAGCAAAAGCAAATAAAAAATGTCCCCCAAAAGAGAACACAGAGAGAGATTTTGGTTGCAATTAAAATAGACTAAACTTCTGTAATTAAAGAATCTAACATACTGATAATGCTTATATGTGGTGATCAAATTGAATTAGAACTAGTTTTTCAGATTTCTTCTCATTAATTTGCAGTGGAAGTTAATTTAAAAATATGATTGATAGAATTGTGTCATTTGGGAGCTGGAAGAGATCGTGCTCTAGATTCACATATGTAGATAAGGAAACTGAGGCACCAAATTGTTTAATTGACTTACTATTAGCAGAGCTCACTACTAAAAGGTTAATTCTAGCACATAAATGGATGGAATTTACCATTCAATTTAATTATTTTCTGTACATACTAGAAAAGTTAAATTCAAATAAAAGTTTTTTTAATCAATTTTGATTTAATATAAATGCCTTTTGTGCACATTATTTTTTTCTGGTATCTATATGCAAAGACTTGAATATGAATTGAAATGAATTAAATTATTTATGAAAAAATGTTAAGTACCTGAACTAAATTTCCAAACCAAAGCCCTGTTAGCAAATTTTGGAAAATATAACTAAACAAAACAAAATTTTCTTTTGTTTCATTTCATTGCAACTGTAACCAAGTTTACTCATAGAGAACAACGCATCATATAGTGTTTACAGTTTGTTAGGATCTATGCTAAGTATTTTCCATAAATTCTCTCACTTATTTCTATTAATGAATCTATGAAGTATATACTACTATCTTATTTATTTCACATTTGAAGAAATGGTATCTTACAGGGAAAACAGAACTTTCTTTCCCAGCTAATACATGTAGGATCTAAGATTTTAAACCTAAGTCTATATGACTCAAGAAGCGATGTTCATTCATTCTCTCCTTTTGTATTTTTCTTTCTTTTGGTTTTCTTGCTTTATTTCCTATCTTTACTAAATGATCAAGTATACCTGACATGATAAAAATATAGGGCATTGCTTATTATGCATATGAAAATGTTTTGTTAATTTAGTCAATTCCTCTTTAAATTTTCTAATTTCTCTGCATTTAACAATTTGAGTTCTGCAAAACTTTATCATTTCCTATTGAGATGACCACTTGTAAAATTTGTTTTTGCTTAACAAGTCTTTCTGCTTAAAATTACATCTTCTATATAACTTTCAATAATTTCGTTGTTTGACTCAAGATAAATGTCCAAACATACAGTGCAGATATGCAAGTCAGTAATAAATCTGCAAATCTTGCAAGAGATAAAATATTTTAATGTGAGAAATCAAAGGAAATTAACTAGGTTATTGTTGAATCACATAATCATTAACAAAAGGAATCTGCTGGAATTAGGATAATAGCAGTTGAGAGAGAAAATCAACAAGATTGATGATATGATAGATGTTCCAATATAGGATAATTTGAATATGAAAGAATAGAGATCCTTGAAGAAATTAATAAAATTCTTGAAATATAGCTGAATAAGTTACCCATTTACAATGATGAAAGTAAAATATAAAGAATTGAATTTTATTTAGAATTTTTTTCCTACTTTTTTTAACTAAAATTTTGGTCACTTTAAGTTTTTTTAGGGAGCTAGTTATTCTTAGGCAATTAGTTCTTCCTGCATAGTGAAAATCAGAGAAGTGATCCAATTTTTAGAATATAACTTTATTTTTTTAACTTATATTGTTAAATATATTTTGTAATCTAAAAATACAGTTAAAATAGAGAACTGTTGATATATAATGAGATAGGACTCCTTATGGATCCAGTTAATAAAAAATCATTTACACAAACCTATTCTCTCTGGGTACTGTAGTAGGAACTGAGAATAAAGAGTTCAATAAGTAAGGTCTCTTTTCTCTAATATTTTATAGGCCAGTGAATGAGCTTTGGTATTCCACGCATTTTTGCCCTTTAAGAATTTCTCATCAGGGTGATTTGAAAATAAACTTAATTTGCTTGATTGCTCAGAAGCAACACACACACAGAGACTATTTTTCAGTTTTTTTAAAAAACTCCAGTCTAATCACATGTGTAGACGTATCATCAGTGATTGGCCTTGTCCTTTTTAATAATTTTAGAGAACATTTTTGGAATAAACATTATTTAATAATAATGGTAATTCCCCTCTCTCTCTTCATATCTAGGCATAGTA